TCTTTCTGCTTTTTATTAATAATCTACCAAGTTTTTACGGAGTGAACCTTTGAATACTGCTCCTGCTATATATTTAGAGATTATTGATAAAATTCAATTCCCTTTGCATTTTCTATAAATATGTTTGTGGTAATTGTTCTGATGAACTTTCTTCTATGGTACCTAGACTTTATGAATTTAAGTTCAGTACTAGATTGGCAGCAAGGTCTCATCATTTTATGCTTGAAATGGCTAGATGTAACTGTAAGTTCAATGCTAACAGTTTCTTCTCTCACCTTCTCTAGAAATACTTTCATGGTAATTGTTCTGATGAACTTTCATCTATGGTATCTAGACTTTATGAATTTAAGTGCAGTACTAGATTGGCAGCTAGGTCCCATCATTTTTTGGTTAAAATGGCTAGATGTAACCGTAAGTTTTATGCTAATAGTTTTTTCTATCACACTTCTTGCTTGTGGAACTCTTTTCCAGATTCTTGCTTCCCAGTCAACTTTGATGTTTAAAAGTATAAATGCAATTGCTATCTACTGTTTTCTTAATTCGTGTTCCTTTATTTTTATCTCTTAATGTTTTTTTTCTCATATACTCTAACATCCAGTAACCCATTGCATCATAGTGACTTTGTTGCCTTGGTTGAGGTGAAATGATAAAAAAAAAGAAAACTAGATGAATTGGTATTAGCAATGTGCATTTAATTTTAGTTATAAAATAAAAAAAAAGAAAGACTGGGAAAAAGGCTATAAATGAATAAAGAGAGCAAAATTATGTTTAAAATTCAGGAACTTAAAACAACCATTTTTTTTAGAAGGCTGGAAAATGAAAGATAAATGTCCGAAAGGAATTTAGAGCAAAATCCACAAAATAAAAAAGTTAGCAAAACAACAAAATGGAACAAAATCTTTTCCAAAATAGGAATATTTTCATCTTTTTTTTTTCTTTTTGCTTTGATTGAAGAATATGGCAAGTCACTGAAAATATTAGCAATATCGAAACAAAATGAAAAAATAACAGCAAAAGAAAAAAACAATATTGTAAGGTTGTAATGTTTAGCTTTCAGTCAATTCTATTTAATATTTATTTTTTCTTTAAAATTTGCTTTCTTTTTCTTTCCTTTTCTTCTTTTAATTTTTTTTTATTTCTGTGGTCCATGGTTTTATTTTTAGAATCCATTTTCTGTTTTTTTTTTTATTTCATCTTTTGCAATCTTATATTCAAAAGGAAAATCTTTTCGGCTATTTTTAAAAATGCAGTAGAATTTGACAATTTTTAAGCTGACATTTTGTGCAATATTTCCATTTCCAAATTTAAAAAAAATGTCAGGAATTATTTTCTCATTTGGTCTGAGATTTTTTCTCTTTTTTATTTTGTAATTATAATTTTTATATTGAGATCTGCGCATGTATAATAAGTATTACTGTTTGCTCTTATTTTCCTTTAAGATCGTTTTACACTTTAACCTTTTCTCAATAATCTAAACTCTCTTTATCTCCCAACTGATTTCACTATAATTGTATAATAATTATTCTTATTTGCTCTTGTTTCCAAGATTTGTTTTAAGCTTAAATCTCTCACCTGTTCTCACTTCTTCTATGTGCCATATCCCTTCAAGACGTTGGTGATCATGGCTCTCCACACATTCCTGTCCCTTGTAGCTTGAGATTTATTGCATACATAAAACAGCAATTGTGATGAAATGTTTTTCTAAGTGTAGCTTAGATGTGGCACAAGGCCAGAAGTGTGGACCACCCAGTGAGGATCAAACTCACTACTCAGTCTTAACCGATCTAGCAAAACAAGCTTGCTAACCATTACACCACGTCAAAGTGGCCCCTGTCTTTTGTAGCTCTTAATAAATTTTCTCTTTTTGTTATCTCTCCTAAATCTTGTTCTGCTGTCCATTTACACAACCACCTTCTTCTTTGCGCCGTATCCCTTCAGGATGTTGGCGATCATGGCTCTCCACAATTTCCTGTACTTTGTATCTTTTAATAAATGTTTGTGTTTTTGTTATCTCTCCGAAACCTTGTTCCACTATCTGTTTATTCAAGCTCGCTAGGTTATGCATTGTTTTCAACTATCCTTCTTGCTTTCAATCTGTCCTCTGAGTTTCAAATTTTCCAAACCCTCTTTCCTCATGATGGGACCTTTCAATTTTCTCTTCCTGATGATAAGTATAAATGCCCTTTTTATTTCCATTGTCACTAGAATTTTGTCATTGCCTCATCCATAGAATTCTCAGCATCCTTTTGTCAAATGAAATTTTTGTTGCTTCAAGTGCTTCTTCAGCTGTGTATGTATTATCTAGTATTCACTGGCATATAGGAGGAGTTATATTACATAACATTTCAGTACTCTTTTCTTTGTTTCTAATGAAAATTTCCTGTTTCTTAATACGTTGCTTAACTTTTTTGAAGCAATCTTTTACTAGTCCCAGTCTATTTAATCTTTTCCTAGACTATGCCCTGCACATTTAAAAATACAGATATAATAAGATGGATATTAATTATTTAACCATTCCATACTGGCATCCTAAATGAGTTTAGTAATAGAAGACAATGATCCTGACTGCCCTCCCAAGGCCAATCTATAGATGATCTGCAAGGCTAAGTGTTCTTAGTTGAGATAAGAATGAGCTTGAGCAGAAACATCCTCTACCAAGTGTTCCAAGAAATAGGACTCAAGATAATCCTTTCCAAAACAGAAACTATGATCTGGAATTGGAATGAAAGTAGTTATGGCACATACCCTAATTCCATCATAAAGATACAAGATGTGGAATTAGTAAATACTAAACAGAATGAATATCTCAACATATGGATTATTTGTAACAAATTAAGCACAGGAGAAAAAGAAATTGAACCTAGAATAGGCTATGTCAGAGGTAGTTTCACACAATACTGCAAATTGCTACAAAACCGAAACTTCATCTTGAAAACTCAGTTGAGTCATGTTCTTAAATAGTCTTGTCAGATCAAGACTTCATATTGATATCATATTGATATCATTCATGGTACCAAACCTGCTCAGAAATATCTAAATAGTCGGTTGTATGCAATTGCTTCCTAAGATCAATGATGAAAAAAGTCTTTGAGCAAGTGAAGCCTGAGGGTCTTTCAACATTGTGGACTGGCACTACAGAATCACAAATTTTACTAAATAACAGGAACCACATCTCTTGAGGACAACCAATAGCAGCAACAACTAAAATGGATAGCACATGAAACTGAAAGAAACAATAATGACAAGATGATGACATTCCACAGTACGGAAGCCAAGCTGCCAGATGAGGACTGATAATATTGCTGATTCTTCTTTGGATTTTATCAAGGTTGCTCAAGGCGAATAACAGGAGCACCAAACCATATGTGGTAGCAATATTCTAAGCATGAGAGAATGGTAGACTTATAGATATGTATAACAGATTCTGGAGAGAAAAATTATCTTGCACAATACAGTGAACCACATTTCTTAGAAAGTGGCTTAGCAATGGAGTCAACTATAGTCTTCATTTAACGTGAGCTGAGAACATTAGCTTGAGAAGGTGTGATGACTCACTTTCCTGGGGGTTAGCAACAGACATGCTGATGGAAGACATTGAGGAGACTCTCACATGATTAATGGGGAAAAATTTAGTTTTGGAAGTGTTAAAATTAACAAATCATCTTTTGCTTCAATTAATGACGAACTTGAGTCATTTTGGACATCAGCTGCCATTTTGATATTATGGAACTGATCAGACTTGCTACCAATACAGGAGTAAATGGTTGTGTCATCAGTGTAGATACCAAGTTGAAAGCAGATGCCACCAGGAAGGTCATTAGTGAAAACTAAAAACAAAGTAGGAACAAGATTGTATGAAAGGAACAGGTAAAATAAATTACTGAATTAAGGACAAACATTCAGAAAATATTTATACATTAATCCTTGATATATCATAGATTGCTCTCCCTGCCCAACAGGAATATAGATGGAGATTTTACAGATGGTTTTGAATTCTATAGTGAATTGCTTCATTCATGTGTTCCTTAGTCTTTGATTAACTTTGGATATATGCTTGTCTTCTGGTTCCAGGCTTGTTCATGTCAACAAATCATCTAGAATTTGCTCAAATTCTTTGACCTAAAACTAATAGCGCTTGCATTTGAAAGAGACAAGCCATCAATATTCCCTTACTGTCTCTGAAATAAATCTGTTAAAAGAGAGCAGAAATACTTAGATATACCTACATAACTTAGATAAACCTATACAAGGTGCCTTGAAAAGATTTATCAAACATTTTATGTCCTGAGGTAGGCTCAAACCTATGACCCCATGGCTGTAGCCAATCACACATTGGTTTACAAAACCCTCAATTGACTGTTGATTGCTTTCAATCAAGATGAATAGTACAAGTAATAGAAAGGAGTAGATATTAGGCAGGAGGAAGAGTTGAGAAGTGAGTAAGGGTCAGAGTAAGCAAATGAGAGAAAGGTAGAGGAGGTGTAGGAGAAAAAAAAGCAATGAAAATGGGAGATCTGAAATGGGGAATAGTGATAGGAGGTGACAAGATGAAATGAAAAGAGGAAAGAGGGAGAAAGGGGTGAAATACAGGAATAGGGAATGAAAAAGAATTAAAAACATTGGATTGAATAAAGCATGCAGATTAAAAGTAGGAAATGAAGAAAGGAAAAGAAATAAATAACAAAAGAGAAAGAGAGAATGAAAAAGGAAGGAGATATTTCATTCGAGAGCAAAGGTAAGAATTTAAAAAAAAAGAAGTTATTAGAGGGAGAAGGTAGGAATGAAAAGGGAGAGGATGACAATTCATTAGAGAGAGAGAAGGTAGGAATGACCAAAGAGGGGATGACATTGAGAGAAAGTAGGAATGAAAATAGAGGGAATGAGATTTCATTAGAGAGAGAAGGTAAGAATTAAGAGGGAGGGGATGACATTTCATTAGAGATAGAAGGTAGGAATTAAAAGGGAGGGGATGGCATTTCATTAGAGAGAGAAGGTAGGAATTAAAAGGGAGGGGGATGACATTTCATTAGAGAGAAAAGGTAAGAATTAATAGGGAGGGGATGACATTTCATTAGAGAGAGAAGGTAGGTATGAAAAGGGAGGGGATGATATTTCATTAGAGAGAGAAGGTAAGAATTAAAAGGGAGGGCATGACATTTCATTAGAGAGAGAAGGTAGGAATTAAAAGGGAGGGGATGGCATTTCATTAGAGAGAGAAGGTAGGTATGAAAAGGGAGGGGATGATATTTCATTAGAGAGAGAAGGTAAGAATTAAAAGGGAGGGGATGACATTTCATTAGAGAGAGAAGGTAGGAATTAAAAGGGAGGGGATGGCATTTCATTAGAGAGAGAAGGTAGGTATGAAATGGGAGGGGATGATATTTCATTAGAGAGAGAAGGTAAGAATTTAAAGGGAGGGGATGACATTTCATTAGCGAGAGAAGGTAAGAATTAAAAGGGAGGGGATGGCATTTCATTAGAGAGAGAAGGTAGGTATGAAAAGGAGGGGATGATATTTCATTAGAGAGAGAAGGTAGGTATGAAAGGGAGGGGATGATATTTCATTAGAGAGAGAAGGTAAGAATTAAAAGGAGGGCATGACATTTCATTAGAGAGAGAAGGTAGGAATTAAAAGGAGGGGATGACATTTCATTAGAGAGAAGGTAGGTATGAAAAGGGAGGGGATGATATTTCATTAGAGAGAGAAGGTAAGAATTAAAAGGAGGGATGACATTTCATTAGAGAGAGAAGGTAGGAATTAAAAGGGAGGGGATGGCATTTCCTTAGAGAGAGAAGGTAGGAATTAAAAGGGAGGGGATGGCATTTCATTAGAGAGAGAAGGTAAGAATTAAAAGGGAGGGGATGACATTTCATTAGAGAGAGAAAGTAAGAATTAAAAGGGAGGGGATGACATTTCATTAGAGAGAGAAGGTAAGAATTAAAAGGGAGGGGATGACATTTCATTAGAGAGAGAAGGTAGGTATGAAATGGGAGGGGATGATATTTCATTAGAGAGAGAAGGTAAGAATTAAAAGGAGGGGGATGACATTTCATTAGCGAGAGAAAGGTAAGAATTAAAAGGGGAGGGGATGGCATTTCATTAGAGAGAGAGAGGTAGGTATGAAAAGGAGGGGATGATTTTCATTAGAGAGAGAAGGTAGGTATGAAAAAAGGAGGGGATGATATTTCATTAGAGAGAGAAGGTAAGAATTAAAAGGGAGGGCATGACATTTCATTAGAGAGAGAAGGTAGGAATTAAAAGGGAGGGGATGACATTTCATTAGAGAGAGAAGGTAGGTATGAAAAGGGAGGGGATGATATTTCATTAGAGAGAGAAGGTAAGAATTAAAAGGGAGGGGATGACATTTCATTAGCGAGAGAAGGTAAGAATTAAAAGGGAGGGGATGGCATTTCATTAGAGAGAGAAGGTAGGTATGAAAAGGGAGGGGATGATATTTCATTAGAGAGAGAAGGTAGGTATGAAAAGGGAGGGGATGATATTTCATTAGAGAGAGAAGGTAAGAATTAAAAGGGAGGGCATGACATTTCATTAGAGAGAGAAGGTAGGAATTAAAAGGGAGGGGATGACATTTCATTAGAGAGAGAAGGTAGGAATTAAAAGGGAGGGGATGATATTTCATTAGAGAGAGAAGGTAAGAATTAAAAGGGAGGGGATGACATTTCATTAGATAGAGAAGGTAGGAATTAAAAGGGAGGGGATGGCATTTCATTAGAGAGAGAAGGTAGTTATGAAAAGGGAGGGGATGATATTTCATTAGAGAGAGAAGGTAAGAATTAAAAGGGAGGTGATGACATTTCATTAGCGAGAGAAGGTAGGTATGAAAAGGAGGGATGATATTTCATTAGAGAGAGAAGGTAAGAATAAAAATAGAGGGAATGAGATTTCATTATAGAGATAAGGTAAGAATTAAAAGGGAGGGGATGATATTTCATTAGAGAGAGAAGATAAGAATTAAAAGGGAGGGGATGATATTTCATTAGAGAGAGAAGGTAAGAATTAAAAGGGAGGGGATGACATTTCATTAGAGAGAGAAGGTAGGAATTAAAAGGGAGGGGATGGCATTTCATTAGAGAGAGAAGGTAGTTATGAAAAGGGAGGGGATGATATTTCATTAGAGAGAGAAGGTAAGATTTAAAAGGGAGGTGATGACATTTCATTAGCGAGAGAAGGTAGGTATGAAAAGGGAGGGGATGACATTTCATTAGAGAGAGAAGGTAAGAATAAAAATAGAGGGAATGAGATTTCATTATAGAGATAAGGTAAGAATTAAAAGGGAGGGGATGATATTTCATTAGAGAGAGAAGGTAAGAATTAAAAGGGAGGGGATGATATTTCATTAGAGAGAGAAGGTAAGAATTAAAAGGGAGGGGATGGCATTTCATTAGAGAGAGAAGGTAGGTATGAAAAGGGAGGGGATGATATTTCATTAGAGAGAGAAGGTAAGAATTAAAAGGGAGGGGATGACATTTCATTAGAGAGAGAAGGTAGAATTAAAAGGAGGGATGGCATTTCATTAGAGAGAGAAGGTAGGTATGAAAAGGAGGGATGATATTTCATTAGAGAGAGAAGGTAAGAATTAAAAGGGAGGTGATGACATTTCATTAGCGAGAGAAGGTAGGTATGAAAAGGGAGAGGATGATATTTCATTAGAGAGAGAAGGTAAGAATAAAAATAGAGGGAATGATATTTCATTATAGAGATAAGGTAAGAATTAAAAGGGAGGGGATGATATTTCATTAGAGAGAGAAGGTAAGAATTAAAAGGGGGATGATATTTCATTAGAGAGAGAAGGTAAGAATTAAAAGGGAGGGGATGGCATTTCATTAGAGAGAGAAGGTAGGTACGAAAAAGGGAGGGATGATATTTCATTAGAGAGAAGGTAAGAATTAAAAGGAGGGGATGACATTTCATTAGAGAGAGAAGGTAAGAATTAAAAGGGAGGGGATGGCATTTCATTAGAGAGAGAAGGTAGGTATGAAAAGGGACGGGATGATATTTCATTAGAGAGAGAAGGTAAGAATTAAAAGGGAGGTGATGACATTTCATTAGCGAGAGAAGGTAGGTATGAAAAGGGAGGGAATGAGATTTCATTATAGAGATAAGGTAAGAATTAAAAGGGAGGGGATGACATTTCATTAGAGAGAGAAGGTAAGAATTAAAAGGGAGGGGATGACATTTCATTAGAGAGAGAAGGTAAGAATTAAAAGGGAGGCGATGACATTTCATTATAGAGATAAGGTAAGAATTAAAAGGGAGGGGATGACATTTCATTAGAGAGAGAAGGTAAGAATTAAAAAGGAGGGGATGATATTTCATTAGAGAGAGAAGGTAAGAATTAAAAGGGAGGGGATGGCATTTCATTAGAGAGTGAAGGTAGGTATGAAAAGGGAGGGGTGATATTTCATTAGAGAGAGAAGGTAAGAATTAAAAGAGAGGGGATGGCATTTCATTAGAGAGAGAAGGTAGGAATTAAAAGGGAGGGGATGGCATTTCATTAGAGAGAGAAGGTAAGAATTAAAAGGGAGGGGATGACATTTCATTAGAGAGAGAAAGTAAGAATTAAAAGGGAGGGATGACATTTCATTAGAGAGAGAAGGTAAGAATTAAAAAGGGAGGGATGATGACAGAGAAAGTTTAAAAGGGAGGGGATGACATTTCATTAGAGAGAAAGTAAGAATTAAAAGGAGGGGATGGCATGTCATTAGAGAGAAGGTAGGTATGAAATGGGAGGGATGATATTTTAGAGAGAGAATGTAAGAATTAAAAGGAGGGCATGACATTTCATTAGCGAGGGGTAAGAATTAAAGGGAGGGATGGCATTTCATTAGAGAGAGAAGGTAGGTATGAAAAGGAGGGGATGATATTTCATTAGAGAGAGAAGGTAAGAATTAAAAGGGAGGGGATGGCATTTCATTAGAGAGAGAGGTAGGTATGAAAAGGGGAGGGGATGATATTTCATTAGAGAGAGAAGGTAAGAATTAAAAGGGAGGGGATGACATTTCATTAGAGAGAGAAGGTAGGAATTAAAAGGGAGGGGATGGCATTTCATTAGAGAGAGAAGGTAGGTATGAAAAGGGAGGGGATGATATTTCATTAGAGAGAGAAGGTAAGAATTAAAAGGGAGGGGATGCCATTTCATTAGCGAGAGAAGGTAGGTATGAAAAGGGAGGGGATGATATTTCATTAGAGAGAGAAGGTAAGAATAAAAATAGAGGGAATGAGATTTCATTATAGAGATAAGGTAAGAATTAAAAGGGAGGGGATGACATTTCATTAGAGATAGAAGGTAGGAATTAAAAGGGAGGGGATGGCATTTCATTAGAGAGAGAAGGTAGGAATTAAAAGGGAGGGGATGGCATTTCATTAGAGAGAGAAGGTAGGAATTAAAAGGGAGCAGATGGCATTTCATTAGAGAGAGAAGGTAAGAATTAAAAGGGAGGTGATGACATTTCATTAGAGAGAGAAAGTAAGAATTAAAAGGGAGGGGATGACGTTTCATTAGAGAGAGAAGGTAAGAATTAAAAGGGAGGGGATGACATTTCATTAGAGAGAGAAGGTAAGAATTAAAAGGGAGGTGATGACATTTCATTAGAGAGATAAGGTAAGAATTAAAAGGGAGGGGATGACATTTCATTAGAAAGAGAAGGTAGGATATAAAAGGGAGTGGATGACATTTCATTAGAGAGAGAAGGTAAGAATTAAAAAGGAGGGGATGATATTTCATTAGAGAGAGAAGGTAGGAATTATAAGGTCAGGAATTATATTTCATTAGAAAGAAAAATAGGATTACGATAATGTACCAAATCAATGCTTTGCTCCTAATTTTATTATCAGTAAAGATAGAATATAATTTTTTTAATCATTTCACCCCAAGAAAGGCAATAAGCCACTAAGATGAAAGGTGTTACTGAATGTTAGTCATTATAAGTAAATAAATACTATAAAGAAGAGAGAACATTAAAAGAAAAGGAATTAATTAGACAGAAGATAATGATTGACATTGCATTTAAATTTTTGAAGAACAAAGTTGATGGAAAGTTGGAAGAGAGTTCCACAAGTGATTTGTCCTGGGTATGATGATAAACTACATCTGGCATCAAGGCCTCTGATCAGGAGATTGGAGATTTTGTGGAGAGTGGAACCACCTCATAACCATGTCCACTCTAACCCAGGGTAGTAGCACCTGTTAGGGTCCCAGCTATGGGGAAATAGTGAACTCTCCAAACACAAACAAAACACTCTGAAGGTATAAAAATTTCATTTTTTAGTAAGAATACTAGCAATAATTTTTTTATATAAAAATTTACCAACAAAACATATATATATAGTAAAATTATCAACAATACATTTTTATTGTAGAATTAGCAACAATACATTTTATCAGTAGTTGAAAGCATACAATTGTGTTAAATATGTTTAGATTTTGGTATTAAATAACCCATAGAGGTTGATATGCTGCTAAACAAAAACAACCAAATCATCTATATGCAAGAAGTGCAAAAGAAAAACTGTTAGTATGGAACGTACAGTCACATCTAGCCATTTCAACCATAAAATGATGAGACCTTGCTGCCAATCTAGTACTGAACTTAAATTCATAAAGTCTAGGTAACATAGAGGAAAGTTCTTCAGAACAATTACCATGAAAGTATTTCTAGAGTAGGTGAGAGAAGAAACTGTTAGCATTGAACTTACAGTTACATCTAGCCATTTCAACCATAAAATGATGAGACCTTTCTGCCAATCTAGTACTGCACTTAAATTCATAAAGTCTAGGTACCATAGAGGAAAGTTCATCAGAACAATTAACATGAAAGTATTTCTAGAGAAGGTGAGAGAAGAAACTGTTAGCATTGAACTTACAGTTACATCTAGCAATTTCAACCATAAAATGATGAGACCTAGCTGCCAATCTAGTACTGCACTTAAATTCATAAAGTCTAGGTAACATAGAGGAAAGTTCATATTTACCATGAAAATATTTATAGAAAAGGCACAGGGAAGATATGTAGAAAGTGACTGAAGCCAAAATACAAGGTCAAGACCAATAGCATTGCTGATTCTTCTTTGGATTTTATCAAGACTCTTGAAATATACTGCACAATCAACCAATTACTTAAGATTAAAAAAAAAAAAGTATTCACTGTATTTACATCATTCAGACTGTTGTCCTCCTTTTTTTATTGTCATATTCACAACATTTGGCAGGAAAGGAGACTACTGCTACTGCTTGGAACATATCCATTAAGTTGAGCAGTAGGAGTCTAATATTGTCAGTAATTTGTTAGCCAAGGATGATGAGTTCAATCCTAGGTAGGAACACAAGGGTCAGTATAGTTAACATAAATTATTTTACTAGAGAAATGAATTGTAAAAAAAAGTGCTGTTTTAAGTTGTCAGTATTCAATGCAAGTTTTGCTGATAGAATAGGGCTATTAGATATATAGAGAGTAATAAAGTATATAATATATGTATAGTAATAAAAGTAACAGCATTATTATTAATTTTGTTGTTGTTGTTTACACAAATATTCTTTTCTCCAGTTATAAGAAAAGGAATGATAGTACTTTGACACAGAATGCTCTTGAAATGCCTTACAATCATGGAAAACCCAAGCCAACCGACTCAAGAGTAACAAACAATAATGTTATTAATATTCAATGCCATCAATGCTTTTCTTTCACAAAGAAAAGTCCTAAATCAAATCATTAATTCAGGATAGAAGGAAGGTTTTGTGTGTTCATTGAAAATTCTTGCTGTCCAATATTTGGTGACAGTAGGGAGGGTTGGGGTTTAACGAGTGCGTCCAGCTTCATGGACATGCTGAATAATCCAGTTTAGGTTTAACTGCTAATAGCATTACATCCTGTATTTGAAAGTGAAGGGGCTTTGTATCAGTGGGTCTGAGGAATTGTATTGACATGAATGAATAAAAGTACACATGTTTCATTCTACGAATAAATATGCATAATAGGCTGAATATATGGCCATAACCCCATACTTGTTCACATTGACGTGTGGCCACCAGATCCACTCAAGTGATGACTACCCCAAACATGCCATCCTCACCTGCAACAATTTATTTATTTATCAGCTCTAGACTCCTCCTTAGAAAAAAAAAATCCTTTTAGCATTATCCGAAAATCACCAACCTGAGGAAATCGTTCTTAAAGGCTACCTTTAAACTAGAATCTTATTCATTTAACTTTTGATATTCTTTTATGTGCATAAACAATCATGTCTCTCCACAACTTCCTATCTCTTGTGGTCTTTAGCAACAGTTTTTCTCCCTTTGTTAAGCCTCCAACTTCCCATTCTGCCAAGCTTGTCATGTAAGTGGGTCACTGCCTTCCCCTGTCTCTCTTGTCTTTAAAATGCCCCATGAGGATTAAGTTTTCCAAGACCTCCTTCTTCTTATGTGTGCAATGAATTTCAGCTGTTTTTTTCCTGATTTTGAATAGAATGTTCTTGTTATCATTTTCTTTAAGACTTCCTTGTTGCTTGCTTACATGCTCAGTATCCTTCTGTAGAACAATATATGTAGTTTTCTCCTCATCTGTGGTGAGATGGTCCAGCATTCACTGCCATATATAGGATGAATATCACATAGCAATCCAGTCTTATTTTCTTTGTTTCTAATGAATTGTTGCCGTTTCTCAGCACTTCTAGTTTTTGGAATGTTTCTGTGGCTAGTCCAATGCATATTCAGATATCAGTGTTACATTTTCCATACTTGATTAAATATACCCTTTCTTGATTCTTGAATACAAGCAGTGTAATATTAACATCTGATAACCCTTACGAAACTTACTTGTAAACTAAGATTATCAGACCTTAAGGAACTCTCCTGGATGACACGGTACTCCCTGGGTGCCAAGAGGAAACAAAGATGGAATTTTAAGTCTCTAACAGTAGCCTGTAAAATTAGTTCATTAAAGCTTAAGTTGTAATAATTGTTGATTATTTTCATTACAATTTAACGAACAAATTGTTACCGTATTTATTCTGTTGATTTTATTTTGTACCTGACATAGAGAAAATGTTTAAATCACCAAAACTGTACCTTGACCTGAACTTCCCTACAGTGGCAAACAAATGGCAACACTGGATTAAAAAGTTAAATAATCTATTGATATTACTTTTAACGGTGACACTACTCTTGTTTGGAGATTTCAAATACATAGAGTACTCTAGTCTATATGAGATGGCTGTTAACATCCTAGAACAACTATACATTAAGACGACAAACAAAATTTTTGCAAGGCACATTATATTTACCCATTAACAGAAACAAGGCAAATGGATGAATTCCTATGAGAACTCCATAAACTGAGTAAAAACTGTGTTTTTAAGATGTTGAA